CTCTCTCTCACACACACATACACACACATACACACACACACGCACACAACACTCACACACTCTCTCTTTCTCTCTCTCTCTCCCTCTCTCTTTCTCTCTCTCTCTATTCCTCCCCGCCTCCCCCGCTTCCACCAAGGACATGCATGATTGTAATGCAGAACCTAGTTTTGCGCCCAGCAAACCATGTTGCAGAATTGATGAGTAACAAGGATACCAGCACGTTAGTGTGATACGACCTCCTAGACGCTCTGGCCCGGACAGACTCCTGCCTCATAAAACATTCATCAGAAAACTTTACACACAAAGGTGTCATGTTTGCGTAAAAAGTCGATTTCCAAACATATTGGCCTCAACTTGGAGCACAAAATGTTTTAATATTTCGTGCCCAGGTAAGCAACTGACTGCTTTCGCCGTAACATAAATTCATGGCACGTTTTTTTCTGGAGTTAAACTTGTTTTTTGAGCATGTTCTCTTTTAGAATTATTCGGTTCCACATGTGGATGTTGGAAATTTTTAGAAAAAGTTTGTTTGATGTAGGAGTGTTACAGGCAGGATTTCTTGTTTAGTATCAGCGTTGATTTCCAAACATATTGGCCTCAACTCGGAGCATAAAATGTTTTAATATTTCTGCCCAGGTAAGCAACTAACTGTTTTCGCCGAAACATAAATTTGTACAGGGTTTTTTGTTTCAACTTTTTCAGCTTTCTGTATATTAGAGCTATACAGTTCTGCATCTGGAGGTAGAGTTTGGGAAGTATTTGAAGTACAGAGTTGTTAGTAGGATTTGCTTGTATAGGAACAACGTACACATTCATTGGTCTTAACTCGGAACACAAAATGCTATAAAATTTCTTGCGCAGGTAAGCAACTGACATAGAGTCGGAGAGTTTTTGTCTGTTTGTATGTTTATTTGTTTGTTTGTTTGTTTGTTTGCTTTACCTTTTCAGCATGTTCTATTTCAGAACTATACGGTTCCACATCTGGAAGTTGTTTGGAATGTTTTAGAAAGTGTTTGGCATAGAGTGTTATTGGCAGGACTTTTTGTTTATCAACATACAAAGATACATTGATGGAAATCCTATGAGGTCGTAACTGAAAGGTAATTATGTGTGTAGAAGGCTTACATTTGGGATAAGGGCATGAGATGGAACCCATCAACGCCGTGTAAATGAAGACTTCAGAGAACGGAGGGGAATTAAGGACAGGTGATTCTATCAGCATAAAATAGGAAAGTTATTTTAAAGTTGAAAAGAGCATGAGGTTGGGGAGACAGGAAAGAGGAATTATAGAGAGAAAATGGTAATTGATGTGTAAGTGGATGTTTAAGGGAGTAAGTGTTTGTGAGTGTGCGAGTGTTCATCTCTGTGTGTGAATGTGTGTGTACATATATTATATATATATATA